TGGCCTTGAACTCTTTATCCTCCTATGACAACCTAAGTGCTTGATTATAAATATGCATAGTCAAGTCTGGCTAGGGACGTCTCTTTGTTTTGCTTTGTGTTTTAAAATAGGGTTTCTTCTGCCTCTGCCTCCCAAGTGCTGGGATTAAAGGTATACACCACCTCCACCTGGCCTGCTAGAGATATCTTAATTAAGGTTTTTACATACAATTTTATGACCTCTCTAAGTGACTATTTTTATTTTATGTCCATTGGTGTTTTACTTATATGTATGTCTGTGTGAGGTGTCAGATCTCTTAGAACTAGAGTTATAGACAGCTGTGAGCTGCTATGTGGGTGCTGGAAATTGTACCAGAGTCTTCTGAAAGAGCTGCCAGTGCTCTTAACCATTGAGCCATCTCTCCAGCCCCATTTTTTTCTTTTTTTTAAATCCTTTTTCTTTTTTTTTTTTTTTTTTGGTTTTTTAAGATAGGGTTTCTCTGTGTAACAGCCCTCAAACTGATAGGGATCCACCTGCCTCTGCCTCCCAAGTGCTGGGATTAAAAGCACGTGCCGGCTCCAGCCTCCCCCCCTTTTTGTGGCTTTTTCGAAACAAGGTTTCTCTGTAGCTTTGGTGCCTCTCCTGGAACTAGCTCTTGTAGACCAGGCTGGCCTCGAATTCACAGAGATCCACCTGCCTCTGCCACCCAAGTGCTGGGATTAAAGGCATGCACCACCACTGCCCAGCTTTTATGACCTTTTTATAACAACTCTGGAAGAAAGTATGTAATTTGTGTTGTTTAGTATCAGTGGGTAGTGTTTTGTGAGCTCATCATCTTGTTAACTTTCAAAAGTTTCTGTAAGAGGGAAAAAAGTTAACTATAAATTTAACTCAACTTTAGTGATACTTTGTCAGTTTTAATGATCTTACAACCCAGGGCTGGTGATGACAGCACACCTTTAATCTGAGCATTGGGGAGGCAGCACTGACAGCTGGAGGTAGAAGGATCAGGTGTTCAGTTCAAAGCCATTCTCAGCCTTATAAGAATAAAAGAGAGCCGGGCGATGGTGGCGCACGCCTTTAATCCCAGTACTCGGGAGGCAGAGGCAGGCGGATTTCTGTGAGTTCGAGACCAGCCTGGTCTATAGAGCTAGTTCCAGGACAGGCTCCAAAGCCACAGAGAAACCCTGTCTCAAAAAAACTAAAAAACTAAAAAAAAAAAAAAAAAAAAAAGATGGTATAATAGAAAGTGTCTTCAGGCAATACTAAATTTACTGATTTTCCTGGAAACCGTTTATTTATCAACATTGTTTCACAGTATAGCACTGGCTAGTGTGGAACTCACTTCATAAACTTCTGGTTATAGGAGTGTGCCATCATGCTTGGACCTTCTTAAAATCTTTTTTTTTTTTTTTTTTTTTTTTTTTTTTTTTTTTAGGAGAATTTCTGAATCCTCTCCTCTGTTCTTTTTATTTATTTATTTATTTATTTATTTATTATGTATACAATATTCTTTCTGCGTGTATGCCTGAAGGCCAGAAGAGGGCACCAGACCTCATTTCAGATGGTTGTGAGCCACCATGTGGTTGCTGAGAATTGAACTCAGGACCTTTGGAAGAGCAGGCAATGCTCTTAACCACTGAGCCATCTCTCCAGCCCCATTTTTTTCTTTTTTTTAAATCCTTTTTCTTTTTTTTTTTTTTTTGGTTTTTTAAGATAGGGTTTCTCTGTGTAACAGCCCTCAAACTGATAGGGATCCACCTGCCTCTGCCTCCCAAGTGCTGGGATTAAAAGCACGTGCCGGCTCCAGCCTCCCCCCCTTTTTGTGGCTTTTTCGAAACAAGGTTTCTCTGTAGCTTTGGTGCCTCTCCTGGAACTAGCTCTTGTAGACCAGGCTGGCCTCGAATTCACAGAGATCCACCTGCCTCTGCCACCCAAGTGCTGGGATTAAAGGCATGCACCACCACTGCCCAGCTTTTATGACCTTTTTATAACAACTCTGGAAGAAAGTATGTAATTTGTGTTGTTTAGTATCAGTGGGTAGTGTTTTGTGAGCTCATCATCTTGTTAACTTTCAAAAGTTTCTGTAAGAGGGAAAAAAGTTAACTATAAATTTAACTCAACTTTAGTGATACTTTGTCAGTTTTAATGATCTTACAACCCAGGGCTGGTGATGACAGCACACCTTTAATCTGAGCATTGGGGAGGCAGCACTGACAGCTGGAGGTAGAAGGATCAGGTGTTCAGTTCAAAGCCATTCTCAGCCTTATAAGAATAAAAGAGAGCCGGGCGATGGTGGCGCACGCCTTTAATCCCAGTACTCGGGAGGCAGAGGCAGGCGGATTTCTGTGAGTTCGAGACCAGCCTGGTCTATAGAGCTAGTTCCAGGACAGGCTCCAAAGCCACAGAGAAACCCTGTCTCAAAAAAACTAAAAAACTAAAAAAAAAAAAAAAAAAAAAAAAGATGGTATAATAGAAAGTGTCTTCAGGCAATACTAAATTTACTGATTTTCCTGGAAACCGTTTATTTATCAACATTGTTTCACAGTATAGCACTGGCTAGTGTGGAACTCACTTCATAAACTTCTGGTTATAGGAGTGTGCCATCATGCTTGGACCTTCTTAAAATCTTATCTGTAAGTACAAACCACCTCAGTAGACAGGGCATGGCTCCAGGAGTCAGGTGTGGGAAATGCAAAGTCTTGCTAAATTGCGTTTTAGAGCTGCCTTTCCCTCTGTGTGAACATATTGGACCACTGGAAACACCTGAAAAAAAGGAGATTCTCTTAATCAGCAAAGCCTCTATTTTAAAACTTTTCACAGAGCAAAGTAAATGTACTTGATCACTTACATGGTTAGAGTAGTGTAGACTGAGCTTTAAATTGCAAAATATTTTTTTGAAGAAGAAAATGATCTATGGTAAAAGCTGGTTTGAAATGGCAGGGGTTGATATTCTGTGAACAAAAGAACAAATTTATGATGAGTACACAGGAGGTGGGTTTAGAAATGGATTTTCCCTTCCACTGTCCTCACGGCTAATGGTTGTATACTTCCTTTTTTCCCCTAAGGTTCTGAAACAAAAACAAACATAACATGGGCTTGCAGTCTCTGAGGGAGCTTTTGAATTCTTTCTAAAGAGGAAATTGACTTTACCTTACCAGTGCACTTCCTGCATATGCTGTATCTGTTACAGACCCAGGCAGGGCCTTGCTGGCCCAGGGCTCGAGTGCAGAGTTTCCTCTTAGAAGAGGTCTGAAATGTAGCACAGTGCTCTGACTTGATGACTTTATTCTATCTGTATTGCATTTATAAATCAACTCTGCTCTTCCAAAAGGTAGATGACCTTGAACTTGATCCTCCCCCCCCCCCCCACTTCTCCAACACCAATGCCCCAATGTGCAGCTTCATGTATTCTAGGCAAGTACTCTCCCAACTAAGCTAAATCCCAGGCCCAGAACAAGATCTCCCCAGTTGTGACAACCCGAGTTCAGTCCCTGAGGCTGAACTTCCACATAGTGGAAGGAAAGAATGACTCCCAAAAGTCATCCTCTGACCTCTACATACAAGTGAAGGCCCAGGTTCTATGGCACAGGAGCACCTACCCCCCCCCCCAGCATACACACTAAATACATGTATTTGTTTGCTTGCTTCTTTTTGATTTTTGGTTGCTTATTTATTTATTTTGGAGGCAGGTTTCTCTTTACAGCTCTGGATGTTCAGGAACTCACTCTGTAGACCAGGCTGGCCTCAAGCTCACAGAGAGCTGCCTGCCTCTATCATCTGGATGCTAGGATTAAAGGGATGAATCACTCACTACACGGGAATTCATCTTGCATTTTTCACTGTAGATTACATTCTTGTTTGGTAATACTGGAGAATAAAGGCAATGCAGATAGCCAACATAGACAAGGATTTTGAGTTTATGTCATTGCTCAGTTTTTTCCCCCAATATCTCATGTCTGATTCTCTGTAATGGGAGTAACATTGTTTTTTTAACCAGGTTAAACTTGTTTTGGTTTTGTTGTTTTGGCTTTCTGAGACAGGGTTCTCTTTGTAGCTCTGACTGTCCAGGAACTCAGTCTGTAGACCAGGCTGGCCTCAAACTCATAAAGATCCGACTGCCTCTGCTTCCCAAGTGCTGGGATTGTAAGTGTGTGCCACCATGCCCAGTTAAATATGTGTAATTTATTTTTAAAACTTTTCTTTAGCTACATTAAGCTGGTTGTGGTGGCTCACACCTTTAATCCTAGCACTTGGGAGGCAAAAGCAGGTAGATCTGAGTTTGAGATCAGCCTGGTCTGAAGAATGAGTTCCAGGACAGCCAGAACAACATAAAGTTTTTTGTTGTCCCCCCTCCCCTGCCAAAAAAAAAGAAAAAAAAGAATAGATAACTATGTCAAAAGATGCATACATTGATACATAACTGAAGTATCAACTGACTGTATATTTTTATCAAAACACACTGCGTACCTTAAGTGTATATAATTCAATTAACAAAAAATTTCTTTGTAAGACAGGGTTTTGCTGTATAATCTGAGTAGTCTTCAAATTTATGAGGCTTTAGCCTCAGCCTCCAGAGTGCTGGTTTTACAGGCATGTTCTATCATGCTTGACTACATTAAAATTTTCTACTAAGCTGAGGCTAGAGGATCATAGGATCATAGCAGGCTCCATGCCTGAAGACCCTATCTTTTCCGATCCTCTCCCCGCTTTTTAATAAGTGTCATCTGGGCTGATGATGTGTCCTGTAATCCTAACACTTGGGAGATAGGGGCCAACCTAGGATTACATAGTAAGGCCGTGTCTTAATTAACTAAAGAAAGGGGAGGGAGCACTGTGTTAATTCAGCAGTAGAATGCTTGTCTAGCATGTGTGAGCCCCTAGGTTCAGTCCTGACATAGCATATCATCTTTAATGAGCAGAAGATGGTAGTTGTTTGGTACAATTAGGTAATTATGAATGACACCTATTCTTTAACTTTTCCTAGAGATTCTAAATTTGCGTTTTCGTGTTCTTTTTAGATAAAAGAGAGTGCTTCACAGACAAGAGATGTCCTCAAACATCATTTTAGTGATTTAAAGGGAACCCTTGGAAAGCTGTTGGATGAGCGATTGGTGACCCTTTTGCAAGAGGTGGACACCATTGAACAGGAGACCATCAAACCATTAGATGACTGCCAGAAGCTCATAGAGCATGGAGTTAACACCGCGGATGACCTGGTCCGAGAAGGTGGGAGTCAGGGAACCTGTTAAATCCTTGCAGACTGATTTCTTGGAATACTAGCAGGCTTCTTGCCAGCTGAAGGGTACCTGGAATGTTTCTGCCTTGAGACATTTTGTAATATAGTGCGTAGTTATGCTGTGAGGGACCCTAGTCTAAGCATAATCAAAGCATTGATTGGGATCATTTATAAAAAAAAAAAAGTACTTCAGAAGGTTCTATGATTATGGTATTTAAATCCCAATTTTTCGAAGGGGTTATGCATTACATTTTAAAAATTACATTCCTCCTCTCTGTGTGGGGGAGTAGAGGCTCACACATGCCACAACATATGCATAGAGATCAGAGGACAACCAACAAAGTTGGTTCTCAGCTTCTACTATATGTACCCCAGGGATAGAGCTTACATCAGCAGGCAAGTACTTTTACCCACTGAGCCATCTTACTGGCTCATCCATTACATTTTCAATCACTTATTCAACATGTAATTTCAAATTTATTTTCACAACTTTTATAAACTTTTGTTTATTTACTGTTTTGTTTTGTATTTTTGAGACAGAGTCTTGTATTATTGTCTAGAATGCCATGAATTAATTCTCAGCAGTGCCCCTGACGAAGTAGCATGGGTACTGGGCTTTCTGGGTTCAGCCATCATACCTAACTTCATTTTTAGTTTTTTTTTTTTTTTTGGAGGGGGGAGGTGAGGGCAAGTGAGACAGGGTTTCACTGTGTAGCCTTGGCTGTCTTTGAACTTACTTTGTAGACCAGGTTGGCCTCCAAGTCACAGAGATCCATCTGCTTCTGCCTCCCAAGTGCTGGGATTAAAAGAGGGCACCACCACCAGTTTTAGTTCTCACATTCCAGGTTTTAGGCAGGTTTCGTTGTTGTTAAGTCACCCATAAGTCTCAGCTTGTTCATCTCTGTCTTCCTTCTGTGATAGGACTTTCTTCTTTCCAGTGCAGACATTTTGTTAGGTATATTAAATAAAAAGATAACGGTTCTGTTCTTTGGGGTTTGTGATTCAGTAGGAGTCATGCTGAGTAAGATCTAAACTTTTACTGAAGAACAAAGGAGTCTGTCTGGGGAAGTATAGGACGGCCTTCTGTGGGAGTTCCGCAGAGACTGAAGAAATTCATCAAGCCAAGGATTCTAAGCAGAAGTAACATCAAGAGTGGAGTGAATGTCAAGGATCTGTGTCAAGCTGGGCTTACATAATTGGTCTGGCCCAGGCCTCACAGTTGCTGTGTAGCTAATTGTAATCCTCAGTGAGACATGTTTATTTTTTACTGGCATAATAGTGCCTTTGAGAAAATTCTTTTTAGCAGAACCACAGAATGTCTTCCCCTTGAGGCTTTGAATTTGGACACAGACCCAGAAGCAGGTCAGCACAGGGCGGGCGTGTGCACACCCATAACAGTGAGGGCTGTGATTTCATTTCTGAAGATAAATCCTTTGAGGCATGTACTTGTTTGTCATAGCACTTAATGCTTGAAGTTTTCTAAAACATTTTTCATTTCAAACTCTTTTCCCCTTCTCCCTACAGAGAAGATAAAAAGCTTCTCTCTTTGTATTTTTTTAATTCATTAAGTTTAAGCATTTTATTTTTATAAGTATTTGTCTGCATGTATGTGTATGTACACTACATGGATGTTGGTGCCTGTGGAGGTCAGATTCCCTGAAAGTGGAGTCACAGATTGTTGTGAACTGTCATGTGGTGCTGGGGAAAAGAAACCTAGGTTCTCTGTAAGACCAAGTGCTCTTAATCCCCGAGCCATCTCCTCAGTGGTGCCTCATAACCCAGTCTGACTTTGAATTTCTTATCACCCTGCCTCTATCTCCTTAGTGCTAGAGACTTGAGGCAGCATTCAATATGTTCGTGTTTTCTTTTAGTAAAGAAGGTCATATTCTCCCAGAAAAGTTGAGTTCATACTGGCAAGATGGCTTGCTGGGTAAAGGTACCTGTGACCAAGTCTGATGGATGACCTAAGTTTGATCTTGGGACCATGTGGTAGAGGAAGAGGACTAGTTCCTGCAGGTTGTCCTTTGACTTCCACAAGTGTGCCATGGTATGATGGTATGCACGTATACACACACACACACACACACACACACACACACACACACTGAATAAATAAATAAATGTAGTCATAATTTAGTTTTAAAAAAAAAACCGTGAGTAGTTCCAGTGTGCATTTGGATGATGTAACACTATCCTTCATCATTTCAGAGGGTGCAGAGGTTGGTCATTTTCCTGCCCTGTATAAAGCATTTCCTTATTCTGTTGTTGTTGTTTTTGTTTGGGTTTTGGGTTTTTTTTTTTTCAAGACAGGGTTTCCCTATGTAGTCCTGACTGTCCTGGAACTCACACTGGAGACCAGGCTGCCTCTGCTCAGCCTGGTTTCTGCTCTAATGTATAGGGAGCTTTCAGGGAGATCTGACTGCATCATTCTACTTTCATTTTGAGACAGGGTCTCATTATATAGCACAGGCTTGTCTCAGACCTCAGCCTCACACGTGCTAAGATAGTAGTCATGTACCACCTCAGCTGGCATCATTTAGCTGTTTAAGATCCTATGTCCTTTTGCTGCTCTTATGCTAATATTTTGTTCTTGTTAGAACTGATCAAGAGGAGTCAGGAGTGTGAAGGCTCACCCCTGGAATCCCAGCACTCGAGAGTTAGAGGCAGAAATAGGTTGTTATTTTGAGGCCAGCCTGGTCTACATAGCAAGTTTCAAGTCAGCCAAGATCTTACCTTGAAAAAGTCAGAAAAAAGGGGCTGGCTAGGTGGCTCAGTGGACAAAGGAGCTTGGTACCAATCTGACAGACTGACGTAAGTCCCCAAAACTCGTGTGATAGGAAAAAATAACTATGTCTACATGTGTGCATATCTCCCCAGTAAATTACTGTAAATAACAAAACAGGATGGGGGAACCTCACGAATTGATAAGGAGGAATGAGGAGATGCCACTGGCCTTAGGTCTGTGTAATTGGTTGTTGAGCTACATCTGCAGTTAGAGAGCAGTTGTGCGTCTTTGTTCTCTCTCACCTGCCAAGTCGTTTTGAGAATTTGATTGTCACTTGGGAATAACTTGTAGCAAAGCGAGAAATCCACAGGTGACATGAGTTGTATTGGTTAAAATGTGGCTGTTTTTTTACTTACATAATTTTCTTACCCTCTATTCTAGGTGAGATCGCCATTCACGGAGGTATAGAAGAACATAATGATAAATTGTGGAATTTTACCAAAAAGGCCTCACACATTCAGTTGGACAGGTAAAAGAGATAGTCACTTTTGGACTTACTCTTAAGCATTTAAGTATTTGCCTTCCTCCCAATCTTGACCCTCCCACCCGCTTGGTCCCCATTAAAAATTCTGATCACAGGAAATAGAGAATCTGGTTTTTGGGCAGGAGAGATGGTTCAGCCGTTAAAGGCCAGGCTCACAACCAAAACTGTAAGAGAATCTGTTTTTTAAGGTTTTACTACTCATTGACGTTACTACTAGTGTCAAATGACTGTGGTTGAAGTCTTTGACATACTATTATTATAGATCTTTTTCAATTCCAGTAGTTAATAGAATTATTAAATTCTAAAAATTCTGGTGCCTGCTTTCAAAGCAGCACTCATAGTGAAATTGGAGCAATATGGAGAGGGTTGTCTTATTTCAGTAAATGAGATATTTTGATATAAACTCAACAGTTGTGGTTTTATCAATTTTGTCTTTTTCATTGTTATTGTTTGGTTTTTGGTTTGTTTAAGGTGGGGTATCTCTGTGTATGTAGGTCCGGCTGACCTCTGATTTGTGATTCCCCTGTCTCAGTCTCCTGACTAATGGGATTATAGGTGCTACTACACTACAGTTTACGTTTTTTTGTCATTCTTATAACAGTTGGGGAAGAGAATCTTCACATAATATAAAGATGAAAGCCCTCATGAAGCCTCCAGCTTTTTGAGAATTATTTGCTGAGGCCTTGAGGACTCTTGTAGCATATGACTAAAATAGTCCTTGCATTTTTATGTCCATGTTAAGCATGTCTTAAACATATGAACTTTGTTTCCTTAGCTTACCAGAAGTGCCTTTGCTAGTTGATGTACCCTGTTTATCTGCTCAGTTGGATGATTCCATTCTTAACATAGTGAAAGACCACATTTTTAAGCATGGAACAGTAGCTTCCCGCCCACCAGTACAGATTGAAGAATTAATAGAGAAACCTGGAGGCATCATAGTGCGATGGTGTAAGGTATGTATCAAGTTACAGAAATGGCCTCATACATTATGTGTTTGTGATTTGGGCTTTTAAGATTTCTCTGTAACAACCTTGGCTGTTTTGGAACTTGCTGTGTAGACCAGGCTGGCCTCGAACTCAGAGATACACCTGCCGCTGCCTCCCAAGTGCTGGGATTAAAGACATGTACCTCCACTGCCAGGCTTTGTTTTGTTTTTCAAGATAGGTCTGTCTGTGTAGCCTTGGTTGTCCTGGAACTCATTCTGTAGACCAGGCTGGCTTTGAACTCAGATCCACCTGCCTCTGCCTCCTGAGTGCTGGCATTAATGGCGTGCACCACCTCTGCTGGTTGGAGCGGGGTGGGGGGACTTTTTATAATTAAATCACAGGGAATGTGAACTCAGGTAGTTCTTCCAGTGTCAAATAACGACCTCAAGTTTTACTTTCTTTTGTGGAGCTGGCAATCAAACTCACCATACCACCAACCTACTCCCAGCCCCTTGAAAGGACTTCTTAAAACATCAGTGTCCCCAGGCAGTGGTGGCACACTCCTTTAATCCCAGAACTTGGGAGGCAGAGGCAGGCTGATCTCTGAGTTTGAGGACTCTGGGCACCAGGCACATGCGAGTAAATGAAGGCAAAATACCCAAACAACATAAAATAAAATTGAAAGATTTAATTGGGCAGTGGTGGTACATGCCTTTAATACACACAAGTGGAAGGAAGGAGCCAGGTATGGTAACATCATAGCATTTGGGGTGGCAAGGCAGGAGGATGGTGAGCTCAAGGCCAGTCTGGGCAATATTGCAAGACCTGCTCTCAAAAACAAAGAAACAAGCGAAAAGAAACAGAAGAAAAATAAAAGGAAAAGCAACTGGATATGGTAATGCAAATTTATAATCCTAGCTCTCAGGAAGCTGAAGCAAGAAGATTACCATGAATTCAAGGCCAGCCTGGTCCACATTTAGTGATACCCTACCTATCTCAGGAAAAACCAGAAGGAAATAGTGATAAACATATTGCCTGTGTCTTTCCCTTAGTGTTCCATATTGCCCCTATTCAGCAAAAACTCAGGATTTTGTCTGGATGTCCCCATTTTTTTTTCATGGTTCTTACCTAACTTAAAAAATCTTTCTCTATAGGTGGACGATGACTTTACAGCTCAAGATTACAGGCTCCAGTTCCGTAAATGTACTGCAAATCATTTTGAAGACGTGTATGTAGGTTCTGAAACTGAATTCATAGTGTTGCACATAGACCCCAATGTTGATTATCAGTTCAGAGTCTGCGCCCGAGGAGATGGCCGGCAGGAGTGGAGTCCTTGGAGTGTTCCCCAGACCGGTCACTCCACACTGGTGCCTCATGGTATGCTCCTACCTTGTCACACCGGATGCTCAGTGGGGTGTGGGAAAGCTTACTTCCTGTGCTTAGAGTGGTGCACAGGTAACCACTTTACTAAAGATAATCTTGAACTGAGAGAATGGGGAACCTGCCTTTACACAGATCACTCCGTGTAAATTGTTTTCATTAGCTCTTGTGCTTGGAATTTAAAATTGAGCATCACCAAAGCCACACGTTGGAAACAGTGCCTAGGATACTGATTTCTCTCTCTCTCTCTCTCTCTCTCTCTCTCTCTCTCTCTCTGTCTTCCTCCCTTCCTCCTTCCTTCCTTCCTTTTTTAACTTAAATATTTGTTTTATTATTTATTTATTTGTACATGTGTATATATTCACACATGTACACATGTTTGCTGGTGCCCACGGGAGCTGTTGGAGTTACAGGCAGTAATCTGACTGAAAGGGATGTTGGGAACCGAACTTTGATCCTCTGTGAGTGGTCTTCACCAGAGTCATCTCTTTAGCTGTTTTTGTTGCTGTTACTGTTCAAGAGAGAGTTTTTCTGTGCAGTAGCACTGTCTGCCCTGGAACTTGCTTTGTAAACCACACTGACAAACTCACAGAGATCTGCCTTTCTCGGCCTCCTGAGTGCTGGGATCAAAGGCGTGCGCCACCACTACCTGACTTTGTTTATTCATTTTTAATATGCTATTATTGTCGGTTGAACTCAGATCCTTATACATGCTAATAAATACATGCTCTATTATTTACAAACTATTAAATTTGAGCAGATAGAAGATGACCATCATTTGATTTTTTGATTAGTACAGGAATTTACCAGAATCTTTTTTGTTATTTGTGGCTCTAACCCCAATACCCTATTACTAAATCTTTTATTAAACTTAGCCAGGATCCCTCTAAGTAGTTACTTTCATTCAGTTCTGTTTAATGTTTATATTCAGTATACTTTTGAAAAGATTATAAAAATTTTTAATGTCTTTCCTTTTGAAGAGTGGACGACTGGCTTTGAGGGGTACAGTCTGAGCAGTCGGAGGAACATAGCACTCCGAAATGATGCCGAGTCCTCGGGTGTCCTCTACTCCAGCGCTCCCACCTACTTCTGCGGGCAGACCTTAACGTTCAGGCAAGTGGACTGAGGAATACCTGTCATGCTGTTAGCAGTGAAATGACGTGTGTAGAGTATGTGTGAGTCTGAGTTTGACATATCACTTAGAGATAGTGTCAGCTTGGTGAGGTTTTTGTTTTGTTTTATTGAAACAGATTCTTACTATGTAACCCCAACATGGCCAAAACTTACAAAGATCAGACTGGGCTCAAACTCAGTGAAATCTGTCTGCCTCTGTCTCCCAAGTGCTAGGATTAAAGAAGTGCACCACCATACCAGGCTTTTGGCAAGGCCTAAATTTTTTTAATTTTCCCTCTCTTTCAGTTGCCTTGTCTGTATCTGTGTGGTTATTGTGAAGACTAGTGGATAGTGTATATAGAATGCTTGGCATTTGTTTTGTTTCTTTGCTCTTGTTAAATAGAATACCTCATAAAAGTGTTTTTTATCAGAGGCATGGGGCGTGGTGATGCAAACCTGAAACACCAGAACTCAGGAGATGGAGGAATTCAAGGACGGCCTTAAGGGCAGAGCAAGCCCAGCCCGGGCTTCATAAGATCCTGTCTGTACAACAAAACAAACCAGAGGCCAAGAATTGTTTCTCCATTTGTCAGTGAGAGTAATCTCTGAGAAGCAGCTTACTAGTGTGAATGCACCATGTATATAACTGTAAGATACTTCTGAAAGCAAGCCTCTTCTACCACCAGTCAGTCTTCCTTACCTGCTTTTCTCTACAGGAAACATTTCCTTCTTGTTAGCCAAGCAGTGTGTTCTGTGGTCATATTTCTAAATAGTTCTTTGTAGAAAACCAAAGCTCAAATGTTTTGTTTATTCATTTATTTTTGCCAAAGCCCAGTTTTTATTTGAGTGATTGAGTGGGCCTGAGTTTTACCATGCTTGCTTCACTGTAGCAAACTCTCCTCTAAGTCTTTTGGGTTTTTTTTTTTTTTTTGAGACAGGGTTTTCTGTAGCTTTGGAGCGTTTCCTGTAACTTCTTGTAGGCCAGGCTGGCCTCGAACTCGCAGAGATCGCTTGCCTCTATCTCCTGAGTGCTAGGATTAAAGGCGTGCGCCACCACCTCCCGGCTCCTCTAAGTCTTGAGTCTCAAGATTATTGAAATTTTTCAAAATTATCAAATATATATATATATATATTTATATATTTATTTATTTATTTTTGATTTTTCGAGACAAGGTTTCTATGTGGTTTTGGAGCCTGTCCTGGAACTAGCTCTTGTAGACCAGACTGGTCTCAAACTCACAGAGATCCGCCTGCCTCTGCCTCCTGAGTGCTGGGATTAAAGGCATACGCCACCACCGCCCGGCTCTTATTTATTTATTTTTATGTATACAATATTCTTTCTGCATGTATGCCTGAAGGCCAGAAGAGGGCACCAGACCTCATTACAAATGGTTGTGAGCCACCATGTGGTTGCTGGGAATTGAACTCAGGACCTTTGGAAGAGCATGCAATGCTCTTAACCGCTGAGCCATCTCTCCAGCCCTCGAATCTTTTTTTTTTTTTTTTTAAATATTTATTTATTTATTTCTTATGTATACAATATTCTGTCTGTGTGTATGTCTGCAGGCCAGAAGAGGGCACCAGACCTCATTACAGATGGTTGTGAGCCACCATGTGGTTGCTGGGAATTGAACTCAGGACCTTTGGAAGAGCAGGCAATGCTCTTAACCACTGAGCCATCTCTCCAGCGCCTCGAATATCTTTTTATTGTATTTTTTAAAACATTTATTGCCAGGCAGTGGTGGCACACTCCTTTAATCCTAGTGCTGGGGAGGCAGAGGCAGGTGGATCTCTGAGTTTGAGGCCAACCTGGTCTACAGAGTGAGTTCCAGGACAGCCAGGGCTATACAAGAAAGCCTGTCTCAAAACAAAACAAATTTACTTCCTTTTGTATTGGTGTTTTACCTGATGGTATGTCTATGTGAGGGTGCCATATCCTCTGGAACTGGAGTTGCAAGCTGCCATGTGGGTGTTAGGAATTAAACCTGAGTTCTCTAGAAGAGTGGCAGTGCCCTTAACCTCTGAGCCATCTCCCCAGCACCTATATTTATTTTTTAAAAAATGCTTTTAATTGCATATGTGTGTTGCCAGATTTGGTCTCTCTTCCTACCACATAAGTCCTGGAGCTGAGATCAGGTCCTCCACTTGGTGGCCAGTGTTTTTGTCCATGAGCCGTCTCAGCATCCTCAGATGATCAGATCTTTGTCTGTTTTGTTTCCTGTGTAAGGCGTGGGGGAGCATCTGGAAGTTTTGTCTGAGCCAGTGTTGCTGTGCTCCCCTCTAGCCGAATCATTTGAACTGACTCCCTCTGTCAGGATATGCTTGTTTGTGCTTTGTCTTGCTTCTAGCACCACCTCTCACCCATTAAGTCATAAAGAAAGAATGATTGCATCACCAGAAAAATGCCAAGGAGAGAAAAATGAGTCTGTGTTAGCTTTCCATTTCTACAATAAATACTTGAGATAATTCACTCTCAAAGAGAAGAGGGCTGTCTGGCTCACCTTATGGTAGTTTAGCCCATGACAGGTTGGCTCTATTTCTTTGGGGCCCATGCCAGCAAGCATGGTGGCAGGATTTTCACCCATTCTTAACAGTGCTAGCTGAGTACCAAACCTGTGGCAATGTGCCTTTCAGGAGCAGAGAGGTATTCTATATCTAATTATGGCACACCTGACTCTCAAAACCTATTCATGCCTTGCATACTAAATTTTCTATACTGAAACATACTCCTATGATTATGTCTTTGTGTACAGGAATACTTTCATTAGTGAAATTTCTGAACACTAGGTAATTGTGAAAATCAACAGACCTTTTGAGGCTTGATAGATGCAGACCAGAGAGTTCAGATAAGAATAATGATAAATAAATAATTGCAGTTGCTATCTAAATGGTATTTACTTGGTGCCAAGTACTAGTGCATATGGTTTCATGTACCCTAGGCTCTGTAGCTGAGAATAACCTTGAGCCTCTGATCCTCTGGCTTCTACCTTCCGAGAGCCCTGGTAAGAGTCATGCACTAATCTGCTGGTCTATTCATGCTGAGGACTGAACCCAGGGCTTTGTGAATGCAAGGAAGGCGTCTGCCAGCTGAGCTATACAGCAAGCTTCATTTTAGTTTAAGGCACCTAATGTGGTAAGTGTAGTTAGCTGTTTTAGGAGTTAATTATCCCGTGTCTCACAGCTTGTAAGTACCAAAGCTGGAATTGAAGTCCCTGTCTCCGGAGTCTGTCGTTGTGAATTCCTGCCTCAACCTGCATTACCACACCCAGAGACATTCTGATCTCAGCCATTTCTCATTGCATCTCCTTGTCTCTTTTGTGAGGAAGTTGGTGTGATTCCTACTAATGTGGAGCTCTACAGTCTTGCTGCTGCCTCCTCTTTTGTGTTGGTGGTTGTGCTATAGCTGAACTTCAGACCTTGGGTGTATAAAGCATTTGTTCCCCCCCCAGAGCTACTCTTCCCCTCCTTTCCAATTGTAGGACCTCTTTCCTCCCCATATTGCTTAAGCCTAATGCTGTCTTATGGCTCAAATTCTCTCTCTGTGGATACAGAGGATTATTTGATTGATAGCTTGCATATTTGCAATGATACAGACTCCACTGCTTACTGGTTTGACAGTAGGTCTCAATCAAACTTTGTTTCTCCGTCCTCTTCCAGAGAAGCCTCACTGGGCCCCTCTCAACTGAGTGAGTAACTGAAACTGCTCAGCTAGCCAGACTGCATTTTTGCCATTTTCCCCCTTGAATGTGAACTAAGAGGGTTTTTTTTTTTCTCCTTGTTCAAAGGCAACAACAGTTAAACCAGAAGGTGAGTGGGAGGGGCAAATGGGTGTACTTGCATGAAGATCTTCTTAAGGACCTACTCTTTAGAAGGGTGCCTTAGCTGTGGCAGTCACTGCTCTGTTGTTTAGCCAGTTCGTCTTTGCTGTGGTTTCTGGAGGACTTGCAGGTATGGCCAACCTTTTGGCATTGTGACTTGGCGTTGTTATCTAGAAAGAGTGTGCTTAAGAACTGAGCAGTGCCAGTATGACAAGGGGGAGGAAGGGAGAGCAAAAAAAAAAAATACCTTTAAAGTAAAAATATTTTAAGTAAGTGTATAATTCTTCATTGGGATGAATTCATGGCTATCCTCAGTTGCATGTGGGCTGTGGGTCACAGATTAGACACGCTTGCTAGAGCGTCTGGAGACAGTGAGAGCTTGTTTCTGGCTGAATGCATAGCTGTTCCTAGAGTCCACTTCCTTGGTGCTGTCAGCGCTTCTCCAGGCCTGTTTTGTTTCCTGATGGGACCTTCCTGTTTGCTTTACTTGCTTTTACCTTTTCCTGGCATCGTCACTGATTTACTTTTGAATTATGTATGTCTGTGTGTTCATATGCCATGTGAGTGTTGGTGCCCTTGGAAGCCAGTGATGTTGGATCCCCTCGAGCTGGAGTTACAGGTGTTGTGAGCTGCCTCTTATGGGCACTGGGAATTGAACTCAGTCCTCTGCAAGAGTAGCACAAGCTCCTAAGCCCTGAGCCATCTCTCTAGCCCCTTAATTTTTTAAATTTATTTTATGTAAATTGGTGCTCTATCTGCAAGTACAACTTTATGCCAGAAGAAGGTCTCGGATTCCACTATAGATGGTTGTGAGCCACCATGTGATTGTTGGGAATTAAACTCAGGACCTCTGGAAGAGCGTCCAGTGCTCTTAACTGCTGAGACATTTTTCTAGTCGTGTTCCCCCCCACACAAGTAATTTTTAAATATACCTTTACTTTCTCTTTTCTTTCTTTTTTTAAATAACTTTATTTTTATTTTATGTGCATTGGCATTTTTTGCTTGCGCATATGCCTGTGTGAGGGTGTTGGGTCCCTTGAATTGGAATTACAGACGGTTGTAAGCTACCATGTGTGTGCTGGGAATTGAACCCAGGTCTTCTGGACTAGCGTCAGTGCTCTTAATTGTTGAGCCGTCTCTTCAGCCCCATTAGCCTTTCTTTTCTATCATCTGGTTTTTTAG